CAGCCGATAGCTAAGTTAGAGGCGTTCTTAGGGCGGACGCCGACGATTGGCAGGTTAGTTTCGAGGTCAAGAACATCGTGTGGAATGCTCCTAAGCACCCCGATGGCCACGGAGTGCCTGAAATTGGTGCAACGCTTGTAAGTCCAATCGTATCTCCCTCCCAGCGAGCGATTGAGTTGGTCGGTTGTGACTTTGTTGACCTCTTGTAGAGCGATTATCCAGGGGGCATCGCTTTGGCAGAGAAGCTCCAATTCCCCTAGGCGGCCATGGAATCCGTTTATATTCCACTGGAGAACAAGGTTCACCGGCTTGGGCAGTGCAGGCGTGGGGTACAGGATGGTGGACTCGGCGTTGTCACGGTTTTGACTGCCACTCGGGTTAACGGGCTGGCCAATATCGTGCTGGAGAAACCCATTAATGTTCCAATCCGAATGAGACGGAGCCCCACCAGAGGCAGGAGGAGGAATTCCTCCCACCAGAGGCAGGGATGTTCCAACGGGCGAAAGGAGGTTCAGGTGGTTCTCGGCTGTGTGGTTGGATAGGTCATCATCGGACGGAGGCCCACAAAAGCCAGGCGGGGGAGTTCCGTTGGGCCGAGGCGATCTTGGCGTTGATGGCGTGGTAGTGGAAGACGCCGATGGACTTGGGCCGATGACCGAATGAGACAGAGCCCCACCGGGGGCAAGCGGAGGCGTTCCGCCCACCCCGGGCAGGGATGTCCCAACGGCTGAGTAAAAGGAGATTGCTTTCGGAATACGTAGGTTGCTGATAGGCTCCGGTATGGTGCTCGGTGATGCTGTTGAATGAGACAGGGCCACACCCAGAACAGGCGGAAGCGTTCCGCCCATCCAAGGCATGGATGTTCCAGCAACGGAAAAAAGTGTACTGCGTGTCGTATTGCTTGGCTTGGTTCCCTCGAGGTCCTTCGGGGAATGGGCGTAGCTTCCCTTGTCCATCCCGATACTTTGCGGTACCTTCATTCCCTCGTCGTCCATAGAAGGATGGGTGTTGCCACCCTTGTGCGTCTCTCTTCCAGTTCCCTCCCGGTGCCGGGGGGATATCGTCGGTTCCGGTGTGGGAAGGGCGTCCGCACCAACGGGGCCCCGGCTACCGGGGGATATCACTGGGCTCTTCACATGAGTCTTCGTCCTGTGGTCGCAGAGGGTGTCCGCCAGTTCCGGTGGGGTCCTAGCGTCCGCACTGACGGTGCCCTGCGTACCCAAGGCACAGAATTCTTCATCTGGATTGTCTGGGCGTCGGGGGGTGTCCAGAGGTTCTGGTACGAGTGTAGCTTCCAGTCCAATGGGGCCCCGGCTACCCGAGGCAAGTCGCAGACACGGTTGATGATGGTGGCTGGAGATTGAACATGGTATAGTACTGGCGTGGTCCGTTAGAATAGTCCGGGTGGATGGCTTAGGTGGCGTGGGCATTGGAGGTAGTAGAGGAAGTAGCTACTACGTCCGTTTCTCCTTTGAATCGATCTTCTTGGCCGGCGATGTAGGAGACTTCGGGAGCGGCTTCCGTATTTTGGGAACTTGGTCAGAGCGAGGGGGTCGACGTGAATGGTCAAGTTCCGAAATGGGGCGCTTTTTGTTTTTGGGTGTGAAGAAGTTGAGCAAAGGAGTGTCCGGTTTCTTGGCAGGGGTCGGGCTATTGTCAGGCGTAATCGTTGAATCACTGGCTCCATCCGAGGAGAAGATGTCACTACTGACGTCCACCAAGGAGGCGTTCGGGTTGTTCGAGGTGCTGGGACTGGAAGGAGCTGAGGCGGTGTTGGTTGAAAGAGCTGTAGGAGAGTTTGTCGGAATTGCAGTACTGGACTTGCCAACTGTAGGACTGCTAGAGGGTGCGGTAGCTACCTGCAACGAGGATTCAACGTTGCGAAGTCTTCGTTGCGTTTCGATTTCGGTGACCATCAGCGCTTTGATGGATTTCTGGAACCTTTCCTGCATGGCCAGCATCAGGTGGTTGTTGTTCTCCATCTGTTGTTGAAACAACAAAGCGAAGTCAGTTGGAACTGGGTTGAGAGGGACAGCAGTCGGATCGGTGGAAAAGGTCGAGTTGCCTTTCATTTGCAATGCGGCTTGCAGTTGCAAGATGGTCCTATCACGCTCCTTGACTTGGTTAGCAAGCTCCTCCAACTTCTCATTCATTTCCGCTAGTTTGCTCTCCATGCTGGCAGAAGCAACACCAGCGAAAGTTCTACTACCGTTGTTTTGGTCGTACATACGACGCGCCTCGGGGTAGGATAAGTCCCGGTCAACCTTGATCTTTTGAATCGCGTTTTCGCGAATGTAGCTTGGGCAGGAACGATCGGAGAGCGAGTGTTCATGTGACTGGCATCGGGCACAGAATTTGCCGTTGGGGCAGGATCTGTCTTCAGGGATCGGGTGATCGCCGGAACATTTCCCACAGGTCTGCTTAGCCGCCTTACACCTCATCCGTGTGTGACCGAAAGCCCAGCAGCTGAAACACTGCATGGGCGATGGGTAGTATGGCCGGGTTCGACATCTAAGGTACCCGAAATCCACGTACTCGGGCGTACAAGTGCCGTGACAGGTAATGATCAGGGTCGCCGTGTTGACCCTGCCACTACCTTCACGTCTCGTTATTCTCCTCACCTCTTTGATTCCCTGGTCCTTCAAGTCCTTGACGAGCTCTTGCTCGGATTTCCGAATCACGTCCCTACAACTGACGACGAAACGCGTGGAGTTAAGAATAGGGTGCGGGATAACTTCCACCTTGGTTCCGTCAGTGAGTACTTTTAGTTCTTGCAGCTTCGTGTACTGCTGCGCACTGCGTACTTTCAGGGCGTAGGAACGCCCCTGGCTCTCCGGAAAAGCGCTCTCGATTCTGCCGTTAATGAATTGCTGAATGGATTTCCGAATTACGAATGGGCAATTTGGCAGCGGTTGCCCGCTAGCTCCTTTAATCCGTAAAATTCGAATGCCACCATGGTTCCCTTCTGGATCCATGTAGTCGGGTAGCGTTGGTCCTCGTTGATTTCTACCACTACCTCCAGGATCGGGCTGATCCCACCATGGCGGTGGGTCACCCAAGTTAATCGCCATTACGGCGACCCCAGCCCAGTTCCCTGAAATGAAACTACCAGAAATGCCGGAGATGGAGACCGAGTACCTTGTAACTTCCGCCGACGATCGGCAGCAACGCCGCACACGATGAAACGCAGGTGCGAAGGTCCGCCCTACGGCCACGTACAATCGGCGAAAAGCACTTCCCGATTCGCTAGAAAGTCTTCCGATTTAATCCGCGCACTACTAAAAAGTCAAAAACTTTTTCACTTTTTTACTTTTCCGATAAATCCCCGTAGAGGAGTGCCGTCGCAGTATACCACCAAAGCCAAAGTAAAAGCACTACTACACGACGGGCGGGAGAGGACTTCTCACCCACAAACACACGCGCTCGTACAACGTCAGGGGCAAGAGCGAGAGCGACTAACTCACACTATGGGCGTGCGATGCCGGGCAAAAGCACACACAGTTTGATACACCGCACACGAGAGAGCCACCGAGAACGTTGTCGCACGTAAGAAGCGAGAGGAGATCACACCACCGAGAAACGTCGTCACCCGTCGGATGGGCAAGAGAAATCACCCAGTAAACGTGCGATACCGGCTTAAACGCACACAAGTCCGATACACCTCACACGCGAAACACCGAAAACTTAGTCAATGAAAACGGATGCCACCGAAATGAACGTTTTACAACCTGACACGCGCGAAGAACCCGTAGGGGCAAGCGAGTCACAGTACAGTGGACGAAAGATGCACCGATAAAAACAAACCCCCCTGACCGACCAGCCGCCGATAGAGGGGGATTTTCTTCTCAACTTTTCACTTAATCTTCTACTTTAATTCGATTTGCCGGGGACCAGGTAGCAATAGAAAACTACAACTGTTACGTTCTAATTTCTTGGATTTATCTTAAACGTCAAACTGATCAATGGCCCAATCTGAAATTAAAATCCGGGAAATATGATACCACTCTTTTAACTAGCTAGCTACTATAAGTGAATGGTAAATTTTGAGGTAGCTAACTAACAAGCTAAAAGGAGCACATATGTGATAAGCCCTCGTTAAATGTACTGAAAAGTCACCTCTATTACTAATTTCGATCGAAACCGATTTTCAGTTTCAATCAAAATCATCATTAGGGGTGATTTTTCAGTACCTTTAAACTCCAACCACATTCCCTGCCAATCACATATGTGCTCCTGCCCTAGCTCCTATCAATCTAGCTGATTTTTTTTTTCTACAAAAATTGGTACTATATCTAAAGCCTATCACTACTACTCTGAAATGCAACGATCGAGCTCACGGTAGTGGTCCTTCGAACTCCATAAACAAAAAGATCTTCGATGATAGCATTCTGCCACATCGATTGGTTTGCTCGAAAGCACGGTCCCTAAACGAATTTTTTATTCACCAAAAAGTCCCTATTCGGTGTTAATGGTGTTGCTATGGTAGCGACTATGGAAGGGGATGCGCAGTGGGTGAAAGTCGTGAAAATCGAAATTTTGATCAACGTAGACGTGCATGTTTTTTTCTTCATTGAAACGTCAATTTTTTAAACGATGCATCATCAACTGAAAAAAATTGTAACGGACAGTGGTGCAGGATTGTTGGGGTCTTAAATGTGTGACAAAGTTAGGTGGTACTTGTGAAGTGTGCTTGCTGGTGAGTACCGATTGGAATCTACACAATAATTAACGGTGAAGCTGGAATTCCTAGTGGCTATAATGTGAAGATGGATTCGTATTCATTCCAAGATCAAGATGGAAGGATGCATAGGTAGCACAGTACTCACGGTCCGCTAGTGTTCGTGAGTTATTTGCCGTCAACGCTGACGGTGCCATCTCTCCTACTTAGAGGCACTAGTCTTTTCCTTGTCGTTGGCTTTTGTTTGTGCACCTTTTCAATCCGGACTGAAATTCTGTTACCGGTAACAATAATTATATATCTTTCTCTTTCTCTTTTTCAGCATTCCATCTTCATCAACGACGACCCTACCGGACTGATGAGATGACGATGATGATAAGATGCTGTAAAATTTATCCTCTCTGACGAAGGAATCACAGCCTTTGGACAACATTGATGACCTATGGACTACATCTTCACACGTGCCATAATGCTACACGTGTTAGTACGGTAAGTTGTTTCTGATTTAGGCGCAATTTAAGACAGAAACTAAAACTTTTCTTTTTTTTAAGGAATCACCCAAAAGAACGACGTGGAGTCTTTTTTCCCGGACGGATAACGCTGGCTGAAAAAACTCCCAGATTGACGATTGACGCAAATTCCGTTTGAAAACCTTCTGGCCGACCTCATAAGCTGATGCAAACTTCTTGAACTGTAAGTTGTACACTTTTCTATGCTCCTCCAACTTATCTTCTATAGTGGTCCCTCGCTTCGATGGAAAGTTCACCTTCATCCCTCTCCAGACGATGAAGGAATACAACGCCGTGTTGTTCATTTCCTTGACCTAGGGTATCCTAGTGTCCCACACTCGCTGGTTTAATTACATGTAGATGCGTAGGCATGCATTGATTTGCTTGGACTGGACTTGCTACGTATACAAGATGTTAGAAGTTTTTTTTTATTATTATAGTCACTTTAACGCTCTTGGGTCATTCGTGACTTGTCCGGAGGTGAGATTTGAACTCGTGACTTTGGCGTGAGAGGTATGGATGCTAACCACTACGCCGGGGTCGCCCCATAGATGGAGATCAGATTATTTTTCTACTAGATCACCCAAGACTAATTCAATATCTGTAGTATCGAAACATGTCCAAACAGATTCAAAGTGTCTATGTGGCTCATGACAACCTATTTTCGTGTATGCCAAATGTTCTAGGCTTTCCATATCGATATTTCGATACTATAGATATTATCCCAGTCTTTGTTGATCTAGTAAAACAAATCATCTGAACTGCAGTACGATTTGGAGAGCCTAAATCATCTGGTATACGTGGGAATAAATAAGCATTATCCATATAGACACTATGATTCTGTTTGGACATATTTTGATACTACAGACTTTATCCCAGTCGTGACAAACTTGGCACCGTTCGCGTGATTCCGGTGGTAAATGATGTAACGGGACGGAATTGATTTGAATTGAGGAGGGTTAGCCATGATGGTTACCTATTATGTTTGGTGAAATATTTATTGATTTGTTTTCCAAATACTGTACGTAGGAATTTTAAGAAATGCACTATTGTACAGACGCCTTTAATTAAATACAACTTAAATAACCAACAACCAGGGATGTGGAGTCAGAATCGGAAGCATTTTTTGAGCATCAGGTGTCCAAGTTGGAGTCGAAGAAATAGTAACACCTGAGCAATGTTGACTGTCGCACCACTCGTTTAAACAGCATCTTGACTACCGAAGGTACGACGTTCTTTACTTATATAGCGCAACGCAACAGCCAAAGGTGCTACGTAAAGAGGGTTTTTGGGATAAGAGAAAAACATATTCAAAACCAACGACCTTGGCAACCTATGCCTAGGTGGTTTCTAGCAACACTGCCATTTCAATCAAGACATGCGTTGCTCGATTGGTTCTGGCTTTGACAGTTGAGTAAAATCAACCAGTCCGCTTCTCTCTTATCCTAGACACTCTCTAAAGCTACGAAAAGCTCCAATCTTGGTGTAGTTATTTGTTTCGACCTTCCATTTCTTCACGTAAGAGCTAGGTTATTTACTCGCAGATTAATGCATTGTCATTGTGCACCAGGTTTATCGTTAAACTTACGTGATTGGGTTGACGTTTTTGCAATAAGCTCAAACGAAAGGTCGTCATCTGAAATTTATTGTTGTTACGTTCTAATTTCTTGGATTTATCTTAAACGTCAAACTGATCAATGGCCCAATCTGAAATTAAAATCCGGGAAATATGATACCACTATTTTAACTAGCTAGCTACTATAAGTGAATGGTAAATTTTGAGGTAGCTAACTAACAAGCTAAAAGGAGCACATATGTGATAAGCCCTCGTTAAATGTACTGAAAAGTCACCTCTATTACTAATTTCGATCGAAACCGATTTTCAGTTTCAATCAAAATCATCATTAGGGGTGATTTTTCAGTACCTTTAAACTCCAACCACATTCCCTGCCAATCACATATGTGCTCCTGCCCTAGCTCCTATCAATCTAGCTGATTTTTTTTTCTACAAAAATTGGTACTATATCTAAAGCCTATCACTACTACACTGAAATGCAACGATCGAGCTCACGGTAGTGGTCCTACGAACTCCATAAACAAAAAGATCTTCGATGATAGCATTCTGCCACATCGAAAGCATGGTCCCAAAACGAATTTTTTATTCACCAAAAAGTCCCTATTCGGTGTTAATGGTGTTGCTATGGTAGCGACTATGGAAGGGGATGCGCAGTGGGTGAAAGTTACGAGCACGTTACCCTGTGTGTGTTTTCGGAGGACTCTGTGACTCTCGGTTGCCTGCTGCTGCTCGTATGG